TGGGAAGGAGTCAGCACACGAAGTCCAGCAGGACAAAACTTACCAGAGGGAACCGCAAAACCAGTGGCCCCAAGGGGGCACAGTCTCACCATTCTTGAGGACAGAAGTAAGGCCAGTGTGAATGGAGCATCAGTCTGCACGACAGGCGAGTGAAAGGCAATGAGTACAGAGCTGTAGACTTTGCCAGTTCACATACGTGATGGGGAACAGTTCAGATTTTCTCCTAACTGCAATGGAAACCCAGTGGAGGATTTAAAGCATGGAAGAGACCTGATCTGATTTGCATTTTTTTAATGATCACTTTGTAGAGAATGAATTCTTGGGGGACAACGATGGAAGTAAGAAAATTGGTTACAAGGCTCATTCTTCAGTCCAGATGAGAAATGCTGATGCTTTGAGCCAGGCAGTGGAGACAGAGAGTTGTGGAGTGATTTGGGATTTATTTTGGTGGCAGAACTAACTAGATTTGTTAATATCTTGGATGTCAGGGAAACAAGGCTCATTCTTCAGTCCAGATGAGAAATGCTGATGCTTTGAGCCAGGCAGTGGAGACAAAGAGTTGTGGAGTGATTTGGGATTTATTTTGGTGGCAGAACTAACTAGATTTGTTAATATCTTGGATGTCAGGGAAGGGAGTGTAAAAAAAGCAAACAAGACTGATAATTTGGGGGCAATTAGGTGGATGGTAGCTAACATCAAGAGCTAAAAGCTAAGTTTCAAAGCCTGGATATCATTTGCCTACTTATGATAGTGTTAGTCATGGTATTCAAAGAGATCATCTAGGGAGAGAGGGCAAAAAGTGAATTGCTTGAAGATTAGGTTGGAGGCACTCAATGGTTAGCAGCTGAGCAGAAAAGGAGCTGGCAAAGGACACTGTGGAGAAGCAACCAATGTGGGGGAGAAGTCAGTGAGTGTAGTGTTGAGAATGCTAAAGGCAGTTTCAGGAGCTGTAGCCAGGTGAATACGCTGTAGTTGTGAGGTTGATGAAGACAGGAAAGTGACCCAAGGGACTGGGCACTATGAAGGTCATTGGCAACCTTGACCTTCTAGTTGTCAATGGAGAGGAATGAGTCAAATCCCTGAAATATCTGCACAATGACTAGTGCAGCCTGCCTGAGCTCACTGTCTTTGGCAGTCCAGAAAGACAGTAGCCTATGGACTCACTGACCTGGGTTTGCATTCTGGCTCTTCCACTTACTACCTGTGTTAACTTGGACCACTTACCAGTCCTTTCTGATTGTTAGTTATCTCTTCTCTCAGATGAGAATAACCACATCTTACAGCATCGCCATGGATATTTCTGGATGTCATATGTAAAAGCCTTAGGCACTGGAAGATAGTAGGTGCCCAATAAGTGGTAGCTTTCTTTCTTTTTCCATCATCATCTCACCTGTGTTATTTGTCCAGTATATTCTGGGTGGGCAACCTCCTCCCTTCTCTGTGTAACTGGCACCTCTGCTTGGCAAGCCCTGGCACAGAATTGCCTGGCCTAACACAGTAAGTACCTAATAGCTACATGCTCAATAAAACGTCTGTGGTAATGACAACTGAATGAGGGATCTTTGAAGACTGTGAAGAAACTCTGACAATTAAAAGAGGGTGAAACGATCAGTTTTCTTCCTTCTCTCTCTACAAGGACATCCGTGGCCCACATCATTACATAATTGCTGGAGAGCTGAAAATAGGTTTCTTTTCTAATTTTTAAAAAGCAGGATGTCCTTTCTTAAAACCTACCCAGGAATTACTTATTGGGTATTTTCTCTTGTAAATATTACTACTTTGTAAAGTGGAAATGTCATTCAAAGAAAATCAGACTTAATAAGATGATTCAAAGTTTTATTGAGAATGATTCACAAATGGGCATTTTGATTGACATATCCAAGTACTCACAACAAATCAGACAACCAAAGCTTACTTTTAAAACCTAAAGCAATCTCACTGCTCATAAAATCTTTAATAGAAGCCTAAAGTTTATTTCTTCCAGCACTTCTTAACTTCATTAATTACTGGACACCTCCTTTTCAGAAAGAACCAAAGATACTGTTTTATTCTCATTACAAAGCTCCGTCTTAACTACCACAATGATTAGTGGCAGAAACATCAGACCCAGCACCAGAAAATCTGTTCAAGTCAAGACAGTGACACTTCCTAGCTATATGTCCTAGAGTAAATCAAAGTGTTTCTAACCTCAATTTCCTCACTGGCAAAATGAGAATAACAATGCTTACTTTATAGGATTGTTTTGAAAACCAAATACATAAAATACGCAAATGTAATGTATAAATTATAACATATGATAAAAATGTAATGTAGTATTATTATTCATGTACAAAGATGGTTCATTCATTCTTCGATGAATATTTATCAAGCATTACTGGATGAGCAGGCACTTTGATAGGTTGTGAAGATGCAGATTTTTTTTTTTTTTTGTCTTTTGTCTTTTCTCCGTGTCTGGCAACGGATCGCAACCCTCAGTGTTGCCCCCGTACCGGACCGGGGACCGGCAACGGGATTGCAACCCTCGGTGTTGCCCCCGCGCCTCGCTCAGCCAGTGAGCGGGAACCGGTCTGTATGTGGGATCCGAACCCTCGGGCGGGAGCGCCGCCGCGCTTCCCAAGCGGCGCACTTATCCAGTGCCCCACCGGGCCGGCCCAAAGACGCAGATTTTTATAAAGGTAATCATTGGCCTTAAGGAGCTTAGATTCCAGGAAAACCAACACCACGAGGTGGAAGCATTGCTGATGTGGCTCTGAGGAGCCAGAGAAAGCTCTCAGACTGAGGGATGGAAAGTCAGAGTGGCTGGAGGACTTCCTGCAAGGCTGACACCAGAAGGGACTGCCTCACTACAGATCCAGCAGAAGGAAAACCAATCCCAGTCACTCCTCTGCAGGGTGGTCCACACACTCCATAGTCCAGGGCCTTGAACCAGTTCAAAAGTGCTTAAGTTCCATGAGGCAGGCTTTCTCAATCTCAACACCACTGGGATTTCATTCTGGACGATTCTGTGCTGTGGACTGTCCTGTGCACTGTAGAATGTTTAGCAGCATCACCAGCCTCTACCCACTAAATGCCATGGCACCCCTTCTTCCCCCAGCTGGGACACCAAAACTTCTCCAGACACTGCCAAATGCTGCCTGAGGGGCAATTGCCTCCACTTGAGAACTACTGCCTTAAAGTCATGGAAAACCAGTGCAGGTAGTTCTAGAAGAAATGGAATTCATGCAGCTAGTCCTAGACTTATACTTGTGTTTAACAAATACTGATTGAACAAGTGAATGAATGAATGGGCCTCCTAAAGCCTCTTTGGCATAGTTCCTTTTGGGTCTCATGCAAAAGAGCCCTGGGCTGCTAATTAAGCTCTAAGATGCCCAAGAGAGGGAACAGTAAAACCACATCCATTTATACAGTGTTCTGAACAAGTCGTATGATCTTGGGCAAGTAGCTCAAACTCTCTGAGTCTCAGGTTCCTCAGTTCTTAAAAGGGAATAATAAATCCTGTTTTACAGGTCACTGGGAGAATTAAGTGAGATAATTGTTGTGAAACATATAGCATTAGGGGTCTAGGCACTCACCTCTTTGGTGCAATTGACAAAAGGAATCTTTGAATGCCATCTCAGTTTCTGCCAATGAGCTTTACCAGCTAAAATGGACTGGTGTAGTTTAGGCATATGAGTATACTGCTTTTGTTACAAACATGCATGGAATGTACTTTACCAGGAACTGTCCTATCAGCTATCCACCATCCCTCACAAGCAACTGGGTTAGTTAAGAGGCCCAGAGAGTGGCAACTTGCCAAGGACTACACTACAGCTAATAAGTGGCTCCAATGGACTGGTGTAGTTTAGGCATATGAGTATACTGCTTTTGTTACAAACATGCATGGAATGCACTTTACCAGGAACTGTCCTATCAGCTATCCACCATCCCTCACAAACAACTGGGTTAGTTAAGAGGCCCAGAGAGTGGCAACTTGCCAAGGACTACACTACAGCTAATAAGTGGCTCCCTGGACTGGAAAGACTCAGTGGGTCAGCATTCAGGGCTGGCCACCCCGCTGCCCCCACCACATCCCTCACACTGAGGCATGTTTGGATTGTGGGTTTTGGGAAAATGCTTTCTGTATTCTGTGTTCTGTAGTTTTGTATAGACATAGATCACCAGATCTGGAAATGTCTTCTGAAAATACTGGGAAGGATCTCCAATTTTCAACTTTATCCTGAAATGAAACACAAATGGTTTATCTGCTTGCCCCAGATTCTCCCCCACCCTGCCCCTGCCCTTCACAGAATATGGCTCAAGAGATCTGCTTGCTCTTTTGATTTTTGGAAGAGAATTTTTTGTTTTGGCAGCTGGCTGGTATGGGGAATCTGAACCCTTGACCTTGGTGTTGTAACATAGCACCCTAACCAACTGGCCTAATCAGCCAGACTTGCTCTCTTGATTTTTACAGCAGGATTTAATAAAGACTTTGGAATCTGACAGAGCAAGATTTATCTCTTGACTCTTCAACAAATTGTGCAAAGTTTGATCACTTAATCTGTCTGCACCTCAGTTTTTTCATTCATAAAATGGAAATAATACAGTGCCACAATACCCTATCTACAATTCCAAAATCCAAAAGAACCCCGAACTGCAAGTTTTTTTGACTTTGTAGCTAACAGTTTTCATAGCAAAAAATTGATTAAACGGACATGGGGCTATTTTTAGACTTTTATAACTCTACATTGACTTTACCCAGCTGTCCAGTCTCCTGTGTCAATTCACACAAGGAAATCACTATCTTCTACTCAATGGGGCCCAGCAAAAGATAAGAAGGGTGATGAGAGGGTGCTGGACGTGTCCATCATTAATTGTAAGGTCACAGTGGTAAACAAAGGGGAGACATTATTTTTCTTTCATCAAAATAAGTTTGCTTCTTTCCATAGCAGATATGAATTTAGAAATGAACACTTTAAATTGTTCTCATTTCACATTATGATTTATAGGAATGAAAACAATACTTACTTTTTATTCCTTTCTTCATTAATGTGTTCTCCTATATTCCGGATGAACTTTAGCAGATCACCCACAGTGTTCTGGTAGTAATTGCCTCTTTTTACATAGAACTTCTCCATTTCTCTCATAACATATTCATTAATCTAAAAAAAAACAAAACATAACACAAAACTGTGGTAGCAACACATAATAAATCCTGATGGAATGTTAACACCAAAAGGAAAATACAAATTTGAATATATGCTACAATTACAATTAATTAATAAAGCAAATTAACAGCAAGGAAAGAATGGAAGTCAATACTGTATAACAAAATGCTAACTATAGTTGTGTTGGATGTGGAATTATAAATAACTTTAAGATTGTATCTATTTTCCAAGCGAACTGTTTTCATAAGAAATTAAATACATTAAAACATGGTTAAAAAAATCTTTGACTACTACGTAGGAAATTTTTTCGTTATACTATACAGTATTTTTATCCTTGTATAAAAATACAAATTCATACTTCATAACATTTCCCCCTTTGAGAGGATTGTTAGACTGAACCCTGGCTTGGCAGCCACTGCCAAAGTGAGTGTAGTTGTTTTTTTGCTTAATTCCCTTTGGTTTTTTAAAAGCATATTTTCAAAAAGTTACTTGTTTCTTCTTGCCTCTAGGTTTCTAGGGTAACTTCTATCAATATTCATGCCTTCCTCTTTTTCTGTGCTTGTCACCCTTGTGATGAGGCTCTCATATTTAGAAAGAGTTTGGGGTAAGAGAACAAGGTGCAGCCACCATGAAGTCGAGGGTCATGTAGGAAGAGTCACTGGTGACTAGACCAATTCTAGGGAGGACACTGCCAAGACTGCCCAGGTGCGCCACGTGTGGAGCCCTCATGCGAAATGCTGAGTGGCACATGCGTGGCAGGAGGGGCAGCCGAGAAACACACACAATATACACTGGAAAACTTGGCTTCCAGACTGTGTTGCCAAAAGCTAACTGTGGGACCAAGAAAATGGGCAAGTCACTAAAAGCAACGGGAAAATAAACTCTAAAATGGAATTAAAAGGTAAGATTTAAAGTCAATTGAATTCAATGTAAATCAATGAAATTTAGGAAGAAGAGCCAGTGCATTGAGAAACAAAAGAACAGCTCTGCCAATCTCTGGATGTCCAGCCCTGGGTGATTCGTAACTCTAAAATGGAATTAAAAGGTAAGATTTAAAGTCAATTGAATTCAATGTAAATCAATGACATTTAGGAAGAAGAGCCAGTGCATTGAGAAACAAAAGAACAGCTCTGCCAATCTCTGGCTGTCCAGCCCTGGGTGATTCGGGTCCCGTCTCTGAGCCTCAATTTCCTCAGCGATTAAATGAGTTGGTGGACGTGACACCATCGCAGCATTGTGGAGAGGACTGGCTTAAGCACATGGCTTCTGCAGCCATTCTTCCCAGCTTCGAGTCCTGCTGCACCCCTCACTGGCTCCATGCCTTTGGAAAAATTGTTTGTCTGTGGCTCAACTTGCCCATCTGCAAAATGTAGATCATTGTCTCAGAGGTTGTTACAGTGATTAAATGTGGTAATTTGTGCAAAGTCCCGAGAACAATGGCTGACACATAGTGAAGTGCTACAAAATTGTTAGCTATCACTGTCATCTGCTCTAGTTCCAAATTTCTCTGTTTCTACAAGTTTGAGTTTTATAGGCATTTATTTAACAAAGAGCCATGGCGTGCCTACTTCATGCCACAGATACAATAACGGAGAAGACAGAGGGCAGTCTCCACCCTCGTGGGACTTACAGACTAGCAAGGAAAACGGACATTAGGCCAGCAATTATGAGAGTGAGGTGTAGTCTACAGACAAACGAGGGAAGGAAAGCTAAGCAAGGAGCAGAAACAAAGAGGTCTGAGAGAGGCATAGTCCCAGGTCTGGCCTAGGATAGGGAAGCAGTTGGTTTCAGTTAAAGACCTGAGGATTACGGATTCTCCCACAGTGCTTTGCAATGTCTCTGGGGCACCCACACACACACCACGCAGCATCATTTCTGTGGGTCTCTCTGCCCCTCAGGGGCCATGTTGTATTCTATTTGTACACCCAAGGCCTCTCACAGGCCTAACACATAATCGATATCTGACAGATGTTTGTTAATTAATAATAATGGAAGTTTTGATAGTGTTAACTAGATTGAGATGGTGATTAATTTTGCAGAGTTCTACTGTATTTAGTTGAAGTTAGTGTAACTTTTCTTGAAGAGAAGGAATTTGAAAGATGATTTTTCCTTCATAGTGTGAAGACAGAATGTAGGTCTGCGTGTGGGTCCTCAGAGCTGGACCGTTCACCGGTGGTGGAGACAGCCAGTTCCTCCCTGGACTGACTCGCCGCGTAGTGGAGCTCCTCCCTTGGGTTAAACTCGACTTAGCCAGCTGCTCTTGTCGTCCTGGTAATAGGATGATTAGTCAGGCATGAGGGAAAGGCTCACGGGCTGAGACAAGGCCAACCCAAGGGGGAGCCTGAATACGAGTCTATCAGAGGTGCCTGGGTCTGGAGGAGAGAGAGGGCCTGGCCTCCAGAAGGGGGACCAGAGACCCAAAAGAGCCAAGGGGGAGGGGGAGGGGGGGAGGAAATTACCTGTTTCACTCCACGGTCAGAACAGGCCAGCGGCATAAAATAAGTTAGAAAAACATATAAAACATTACACAGATTCTTATTCCTGGAATATGCCCTAGACCATAGGAATTGTTAATACCTTAGTTCTCCACTGGGCAAAACTTCTGGGAGGTTCAGATGGCCCAGGTTGCAGTAGTTTGAAGATCTCGCTTTTATGGTTTCGCTTTTTGATGTCGGATTCATTTCCCACATTCCGAAGTGTCCTGTAGCGGCTGAGGATAACAGAATTATCACGACCATTCCATTTCTCCCACTCCTTCCAGAAAGACAAAACTGTTAGATTTTGGTTTTTAATAAAAGTAGTAAAACCATGTTTTCAGAACTTCTGCATAAGGAGAGAGGGAAGCATCTCTTCTTCCCGTCCATCCCCTCTCCCTCCTATTCTTCAGAAGAGAAAACCAGAAACCAGAGAGGTTAAGTCATCTCTCCAAGGACACACAGCCAGTAAATGCCAAGCTTAGAGGAAAGCCTGGGTCTACCAATTCCCAGCCCCAACTCCTGCCTGCGCCACCTCACCCTCTCCATTCTGGGTCTATGATACACACTCCAGTTTTACTTACCTCTCCCAAGTCCAAAAGAAGGGGTGACCCAGCAGGTCATTCAGATGGTCCGTCACATTTTCCCCAGGGTGGAACAGGTGACCAATAAGGTCCTTAGTTTCCTCATCTGGAGAAAGTCGAACCACCTCTTCATTACTTTGAGCCTTCAACTTCTCAAAAGGGATGTCTCCCTTCCTTACCACATATAGTACCAGCAGTCCAAGGGCCTGCACAAAAGTCACAAATCAAGCCAAAGGTGCTAATGAATTCTCTCTCTATGTGGGTGACCTTGGAAGCTGTGGTGCAGACTGTAAGCAGACAGAAGACGGGAAGAACTCAACCGATCTGCAGGCTTGTTAGGGAGAGAAGACACACATCTGCACATCGAGGACTTAGAGCAGTGTATGGTCCACACGATTTAGGCCCATGAAGGGCAAAAGGTAATAATTTTGCCCAGAGTTGTCAGGGCAGACTGCTGGAGCTGGGCCTCAGATGTATGGATAGAAAGCAGGTAACTCACGGAAAGGGGGAAGGATTTAAACAAGGGGAATTAGGGAGCCTGGCTGGGAACTAGGACTTTGGGTCTGGGGCTACAAAAGGCAGCAGATAAAGGAGCCAGTCCAGGTCAGGAGGGGCATGGTGACACCCCAGGACTTATTAGGCCAGGCAGGGAGGAAAGGCAGAGAGGGAGATCAGCACAAGAACTCTGCACTGGACGCCAGTCAGGGAAGGAGCTGGGATCTGGAGTCGCCAAACTAAGAGGCCAGATGTGGAGATCCCTTACCCACTGGGTTGAAAGTTGAGCACCCTGGGGAACTCCAGAAGAGAGCTGTCCTGACGAGGTCAGAGTCAGCCTGGGAGCTTTGGTCTGTAGTAGCCAGTCTCTGTGTCCTCTCAGGAGCCACAGCCATTTCAGGATCTTAATTTTTCTGGTCAAACTTAATCTCTTTCAAGCTGGGGACAGACCTCATCCCTCCCAGGGCCTTAGTATCTGTCCCTCTCCAGAGCTTAGCACATGAGTTTGAATGGAGTGGGAAAAGAAATCTCATTTACTTTGTCCTTAGGCAGAAAAATAACTCCTGGAGGAATTTTAGAGATATTTTGGAAATACCTCCTGGAAGTATTTGGAGAAGAGGTGCGACATGCTCAATTTATTATCTATGCTCAGTTTATTCACTTATTTACTTATTTAGAGATATAGAAAAGGGCCACAGCAACAGCCAACTCCACACCGATGCGGGTGTTACGCCTTCTCCTCTTCACACTGAAAGATCCACTGTTGGAGAAGCCCAAGGAAATGCCATTGTCTGCAGGGCAGTGAGAACAGTGGGTAAGACTGGGGCAAAGCCCTGAAAGTTCCTTCCTTCCTGATCAAAACAGGGAGCTTCTCTAATTGGCCACAGGAAATAAGATGCCCAAGGAAATGCCATTGTCTGCAGGGCAGTGAGAACAGTGGGTAAGACTGGGGCAAAGCCTTGAAAGTTCCTTCCTTCCTGATTAAAACAAGGAGCTTCTCTAATTGGCCACAGGAAATAAGATAATGAAGAAACAAGGAAGCAAAAGAAAAAGTAAACAAGATTGTAGAAATTACCTCTAGATCTCTCTTGATTTCCTCTGGATCTCCAGCCCACTTGACGCTCTTATCAAAATCTGCCAGTCGAACAGCATTCTTGGAATCTGAGAGAGTTTGCAGAGATGCACTGAAAATATTCATTCTCCATGATGTGAGAGTCAATTGGTTGACATAAATATGTAACATGATGAACGATCCATTTTCTCTGATGAAGGTACTAAAAGTCCTTATATCTGTATTGCTATTTACTCTTCAAAACACTGTCATATGTACTGTTTCATTTGATCTATTAAGTTCTGCCAAGAGCAGAACTTATAGTTTATTTTCTCCAGGCTATCGGGTAGGAAGGGATGAGGATAAATTTAACCAGCTTTCCATTCATGCAATTCCTGGGGCCAACAGCATGGATCTGTAAAGGAGCTGCTGGCAGGAGTGAAGGTTACATCCTGTGGCTAAAGAACGACTCACCCACACAGCTCTTACTCCAAGACCATCTTAGCACAGCATCCCTTTAAATCAAGCCAACCAGCCACAGCCCACTATGACATTTTAAATAGTTGTCATGGATCAATGACATGTTTATAATGAGTCTCTGCTTCCTTGTCCCCTTCAGGATCTTTCTCCCTTGAAGGAAGCCACTGGGGAGTCAGAAGGAGAGATGAGTGACTGCAGAAGAGGTCGGGAACCAGATGAAAGGAGGGCAAGCCAGGGTTTGTCCTCTAAGAGCTGGTCCCCTGCCTCTGGCTTGAAGGATTCTGAGAAGGAAGGTTGGGTAACCCCAAACAGGATGACGGCCAATGCAATTGTGTGTTTCTAGAACCCCTTTGATTCTGAATTTAGACATCAAAGTTGTGTGGAAACCTAGAGTCTAAGAAAAAGGAACCCATACATTATTCAACAAATGCTTTTTGAGGGGTGAAATGGTGGCAAAGAAGGAGAACACAGTCCAGGAGTTTAGATTAGAGTCTCCAGCAAGGAGACAGATATTAAATAAATAATTAAATGAATAATTACACCGACAAACATAAAATTAATTGCAATTTTGGAAATGCTGGCAAAAAACCGCAGGATGCTCTGAAAGTGGATTACAGGAAAGCTACATGGCCAGTTGGGGTGGGCAGGGGGGGTCTCCTTTAAAGAAGAGACACTTCAACAGAAAAGATGAGTTGAATTTGGGTAGGAGAGCGGAACAGAGAAGAGAGGGAAGAGAGAATTCCACATAGTATTTCCTGAGGCACAAAGGAACCTGGAGAATTCCAATCTGACGGAAAGGAGGCCCCCATGCTGGAGAGCAGTGATGAGCTCAGAAAGTGGCCTGC